CCTTCTTTTTGTGAACACCAAAGCATTTCACAAGGTTATTTCCTTTTCTTCCAGGAAATGCAAGGTCACACTTAAAACACTCCACCAGCTAAATTGTTTGTTTCTAAATACTTCTTTGCCAGGCTATATTCAAAGGTGTTGAGGAGATGCCTGCTAAGCTGTGAGCTCCCTCGAAGTACATCTTTGTAGTGCCCTGCCCCACTTGATACTGCCTCCCTCCTTTCAAGCACCTAATAACTGTTTAATCAAAATGTGTTGAATAAATGGATAAATCACTAAATGTATTATTTTGTTATGTAGTTCTGTTTTTGTTGATCATTTTTGTTCCCGTCGTCCTGTGACGTGGGCCATTGGATGCTACAGCCTAGGATGATACAACCCTAAGTCAACCTTGCAGAATGCCTGAGCGCCCCATTTTGGAGTTACTAGGCATGGATTTGATTTGGTTTTCACCGTTTCTATTACGTGTCCTTTGACCCCCAGTTTTCTCTCACGTTGGATGGAAATAAATATCTACTTTAGAGTGTGGTAGTAAGGGAAAAATTATACTTTTTATAAAGCCTTCACACAGTACTCAACATATAAATGCTTAGTTCAGGCTTTGAATTGTGATTCTTTGTCTTTGAATGTTTTCTGCACAGCTGTAGGTCCAGAGGTCTAAAACGTTACCGGCCACTGGATTGTGACTGTGTGAGTAATGTCTCCCATTGGTCTAACAAGTTACAGTCTGCAAGGACCATCACATACATTGAATTATTTTGATTTTCAATGCCAATGTCATTAACTACAATAATAATCATTGCCAACACTTATGTAGCCCTGATTATGTACCAGAAACAGATTGGATCAATTCACCCTCTTAGCAGTGCTTTATAAGTGCTGTTAAATTCACTTATTCCTCACAGCAATTTCCAGAGGCAAGTATGATCACTATGCCCAATGTAGAGATGAGGAACCTGAGGCTCCAGTTAAGTAACTTGGCCAAGGTCACACGCCAGTAGGTGGCATTCTCAATAGCAACTGCCACAGTAACCACATTGGCCCCTGTCGTCCGTTAAGTGTTCTAGGCACTGGGCTAAGTACTTGATTTGCATTATCTCAGGTAATCCTCACAACAGCCCTGTGAGATAGGTTCTATCGTGATCTCGACAGATGTGTAGTTTCAAAGCGACATTGCTAAGAAATGGGGCTGGAAAACCTAGGTGTTGTAGTTGAGATTTTCCCCTGACAGTTTCCCCAAAGAGCCAGGCTCTTTTTACCCATATTGGGTTTACATGCAGAAAAGTATTTGAACTTGGACTTTAGATCATCCCATCTGCTGTCAGGACAATCTACCCGGGCTAAATTATTTCCTAGCCTCTTGGTATAAAAAAGCCAGGCAAAGAGAGAAGTCACAGAAAAGAGAAGTGACATATTCCAATGGTGCATTTTTTATCTCTAGCTCCCAGGATAAGAAATCTTCTGTAAAAATCTCACATTTTTATTTTTATTTTTTTTAAAGATTTTATTTCTTTTTGACAGAGAAAGAGACAGCCAGAGAGGGAACACAAGCAGGGGGGAGCGGGAGAGGGAGAAGCAGGCTTCCCGCCGAGCAGGGAGCCCGATGCAGGGCTCGATCCCACGACCCTGGGAACATGACCCGAGCCAAAGGCAGACAGACGCTCAACCGTCTGAGCCACCCAGGCGCCCCAAAACTCACATTTTGAAAAAGTGAATTAAGATTTTTTAAAAATACATCTCCATATCATTCAATCCTGTCTTCTAGTCCAAAGCATTTAATGCCTTGTAGATATAATGACATGGTAATAAGATATATCTGAGATAGAATGTTTATTCTTATTCACTACAGAAGAACTAAGTCAGTTATGTGCAACCAAATCTCACTTGCTTTCCATAATATATACTTCATTGTTTTGTGCTTCTTTATTCACTTAATTAATTCAGCAAACGTTTATGTGCCTATATGAGCCAGGTACTATGCTAGACAGGGGGAATATAAAGAGTAATAAGGTGCGGTCCCTATTTTAAAGGAACATACAGTCTGGTGAGTAAAACTGGTATACCAATAAGCATAATTGCTATGCCATATGATTGATGCCATGCGTGAATGTAGAAAGGCCTATTGGGCCATAGGGAGCAAACCTCTTTAGTGTGCTTGGTCGTAGACAGCATCCCAGCAGAGTGAAAGTTGAGCAGATTCTCGGAGGGATTTAGCAAGAAAGGCTCTCGAGACCAAGGTTACAGTCTGTGCAAGAGGGCAAGACCATGGGTGTTTAGGAGAATTATGGGCATCAGGCTATGGCAGAGCTGGATGGGCGTGAGAGCAGTGACCAGGGATGACACTGGGGTGGGGGTGGGGTGCTAGCAGGTGAGGTTATAAAGGGCACAGGTTCCAGGCTAAGGAGTTTAAAGGGTAATTTGCAAAGAGAAACCCACTCAAACTATTCAATTTATCATGTGTGTTGAGAGAATAAGACAAGTCAGCACATAGGATATAGTTCCATTCAGTTTTTTTCTGCCCTATCATCTAAAAAAGATCTCCTTCTGATGCAAAAATCATAGTACTTTATTTTTCTTTTTTCTTTAATAGTGTTTATGTGGTTTTTATCTCATCACCTCTTTTAATTTATAGACTTTATTTTTATTTATTCATTTGAGAGAGAGAGAGAGCACAAGCAGGGGGAGAGGCAGAGGGAGAGGGAGAAGCAGACTTCCTGCTGGGCTGGGAGCCTGCCATGGGTCTCCATCCTAGGACCTGGAGATCATGACCTGAGCCAAAGGCAGAGGCTTAACCATCTGAGCCACCCCGGTGCCCCATAATTTATAGACTTTTCAAGGAGGACTACGTAATTTACTTTTTTGCCTCAAGAACATTACACATGTATTTTTTTCATTATAAATGAAATACTTACATTAGAAAGAACTTTTAGGAAAAAGAGGGGAAAAAAGTTACCCAGGATGCCCCAATATGAACCTAACCACTGATAGTACTCTGAATTATTTATTTTTGTACATAAAACAGGTGTATCTTCTGAAGTCAAAATCATATTGCCACGACTTCTAACTTGATGTGCATGGTGGTGATTGCCTCTACAAGAAGATGCTACAGTATTTGTGTGCCTTCTGCAGTAATTAGTACAGAATCCCAGTGTAGTGGTCCATCCGAACTAGTTGCTTGATAGTGGTATGCCCTGCTCTATCAATCTCTTTTTCTTATATATAAGAAATATGTATATATCTTATATATTCTTATAAATGCTTTGGTATTTACCTATTAGCTTAATCCAACAGATTTTATGTTTTTCTTTTAAAAATCAGCACATTTTTAAAAATTAAGACCATGTCGATAAAGAGATAACCCCAAGCATACCTTTCAGGAAATGTGATTTTATCTACTCATCCCAATCCTGTATCAGCACAAGCAGGAAGCTGCACGGTTGGGTAATGGCTGGGTCATTTTGAGATAGGCAAGGAGGAAAAAGAAGCTATGACCAAGAAGCTGGAAAAGTAAAACAAAAAACAACAACAACAAAAAGCCTTTGAATTCAGTCAAAATGGGTCGTGCATTCAACAAACATAAAAATGATTTTTCCTTGCACTGCTAATTGGAGCTACTCAGGCACCTGGAATAACCTTCTGGGTTGTCTGTCTCCAGGCTGTGTTCAGGCTCACCCCCGCCTGCCCTGCTTCCTTTGTTGTTAATTGCTATTGTTTTTCTTAAGGTCTTTGGCCCACAGTTCTGGTTCTCTGCTCTGGTTTCTTTCTAAGTAGTCACATTGTCTGGTCTGGGTCTCTGTTAGTTTTGGAAGATTCAACTTTGAAGAGAAACTGATCCCTTGTTTCTCTACCTAATAGATGGAGCCACCAGCTGAGTCTCCCCCCCCCTTTTTTTTCTTTCTCTTTTTTTCTCTTTTTAAAATTAATCTCTTCTCAGGACATTGTGTGGATCTGAAAAAAAAAAAGGCAACCATGTTTGTGTCTACATTTTAGGTCATTCTCGTAAAGATAAGGAGGTTTGGCTTACCTTTTATGGAAAGGTGAGTGCCTCCAATTTCATCATTTGTGAGTGATTTTTAGATGTTTTAAAATAAATGCTCATTTTTCTGCTCATAGATTATTTTCACTGTACTGGTTGGAGGAAGAACTCATGAATGCCAAACATTAGCCATATCTGCTTCTTAGTGGGGCTGTAGCCCCAAGACCCAAGTGTAAGGTCTTTATTAAACAGAGCAGATTGTGTTGCAGGGTATATGCGACTTGGGGTAACTGGAGCCAACCCACCTGGGTGTGCATCCTTCCCTGTTTCTTACTAGTGTGATCTTGAGTAAGGGACTCAGCCCTCTCTGAGCCTGTTTCCCCATCTCTAAAGTGGAGATAATGATAGTATCTACCTTCTAGAGTACTTGTGAAGGTAAATGAGTCAATACGCTGGAGATAGTGCCTGGCACATAGTACGTAGCTCATGTTCATTGCTGTTTTATTACCATTATTGACCTCTTGGCACTGACTAAACCCACCTACATGGAAGGTTTTTATAGTCACTGTTTGACTATAACTCTCTACTGGGTGGAGCGGTCGGACACTCTGGAGACTTGGGTAGAAAATAAAGGCATGTGTAGGGGCGCCTGGCTGGTTCAGTTGGGAGAGCATGCCACTCTTGATCTCCGGGTTGTGAGTTTGAACCCCACGTTGGGTGTAGAGATTACTTTAAAAAGTAAGATCTTTAAAAAAAAAAAAAGAAAATAAAGTTATGTATAGCCTAGGAATTCAGAGCCAGTGGGAGTTTTGCATATAATGTGTAGGGAGACAGAGCTTCCAGTCTCCTCACCTAAACTATGAAAGGCTTACCTATTATTTGTACATGTATCTTTTACAAAGCGATTTCCTTTAAAGCATAAATAGTATGACCTAGTATAAACATTAATGGTAAACATTCTAGAGTAAATACAGAACACAGTGACCGATGTCATCCTGGTTAACTAGATCTTCTTGTCTTTTAGAAAACTCTTCAACAATAAATACACATAATAAGAGCCATGGCTTTAAAAGTGCTCCTGGAACAAGAGAAAGCATTTTGCACCATTGTAGTTTTACTGGCCTATTTGGTAAGTCAAGTCTGCACTTTCATAAGAACATGGTAGAAGGAGTCATCTAAGTAGCGCTGAAACTATCTTCTATTTCTAATCCCATCTTTTAAATTTTTCTTTCAAATTATATTTTATCAATGTTGCATTTCATTAAAAAGCAAAGATTGCTGCTGAGTCTTGACATTTGTAGCAATTGTTGAAATTATTTTATTTACATTTGATGAAGTAATAAAATCACAGCATTACTCAGAGCCCCATGACAATGGTGCTCCCTTGGGCGTATAGGCATATGTCTCTATGATACACCCTAGGCCTTAATGAGACCAGATTCTCTTTGGAGCCCATGACTTACATGGTTTGTGAAGAAATTAAAATCGATTTTTAAAAGAGTTATTCTTCTTATATGGTTATTTATATCCTTTTTGGTTCCAAAAAGCATTAAAGACAGATGGAGAATTTTAATGTTTGAAAGCTTGACACAAAAAGATCTATGAAGGTGTTCAAAAGAATTGAAATTTATTTAATCTGGAGATAGGATCATCATCTGCAAAATGTAAAATGAATTATTTATGCTAGAGACAGTACCTGAAGTCTTCTTGAAAGACAGGGTAAGAGGAGATGGGGTCACATTGGAGTCTGAGATTCAGGTAGAGGAGAGAAAATGTCCTTTCTTTCAGCTGAGGCTGTGACACATTCAAATGAATGGTCTAGGACGGAGGTAGTGGAATTTCTTTCTCAAAGAGATTACAGTCTCTTTGTGGCTGAATGGAATCTCCTACCTACCTCTCTTAAGAGGGGTAGTCAAGGGGAGTTAAGAGAGGCCTTTAGCCCCAGATCTTTTTCTAGTCCTGAACCCCACCCTGAATTCTCCCCCATGCCTGCTGGAGATGTTCAGACTTTGATTTTATTTAGTTTGTTTGCAGGACTTGATTACAGGCACTCCTGCTTCAAGGTGGAGGTAGTTTGTATTGAATAATACATTGAATACTCATCATTACAACCATTAAAAACAGTTTCCTGTACCTCTGGTGTAATAGCCATTCTACAGAGCAATAGCTTGCTCACCTAGTGCTTCTTACTAGAAAAGAGATCAGATCCTAAGTCGTTTTCTACCTTGGGCACTCAGAAAAGTATCAGAGCAAGATAGCCATGAATTAAAAAAAAAAAAAAAAAGGAGACCTCATTCAGGGAATGCAGAGGAGAATCAGGCTTATTGATTTATTTGCTTCCACTGACTTATTCAGAAAGTCATTTTTCTTCCTAAAATGAACATTAAATTGGCCTCACTCTGAATTAACATTTACATTCAGTGATTGAGTGAATACTGATGATGTTGTTCCTTTCTTGCAAAAAAAAAAAAATGTAATTAACTTACTTTAAAAATAACGTTTTGCAAAACTCTTTTTTCAGGCATGTAAAGTGATCTGTGAAACGGGAGACTGTCGACAACAAGAATTCAGGGATCGGTCTGGAAATTGTGTTCTCTGCAAGCAATGTGGGCCAGGCATGGAGTTGTCTAAGGTAGATATCTGATGCCTGGTGAAGTTGTAGATCTCTGGTTTGTTTGTTTGCTTGTTTTAAGATTTTATTTATTTATTTGAGAGAGAGTGCGCACACAAGTGGGGAAGAGGGGCAGAGGGAGAGGGAGAAGCAGGCTCCCCACTGAGCAGGGAGCCCGATGCGGGACTCGATCCCAGGACCCCAGGATCCTGACCTGAGCCAAAAGCAGATACTTAACTGACTGAGCCACCCACATGCCCTAGATTTGTGTTTTTAAAATACATTCTTTTTAGCTAAATTCTTTTAGCTCATTGCTAGTGGAGATTTGGACACCATGACAGAATCCTTGGCTCATATGTCTCACTGAGCTAAAAGGAGTAGGTTCTAATAATCAGAATTTAATAAATGTCATTTTGTGTAATTCGTGTTTATTGTATTTCATTGAAAGAATTGAATTATTAAGGTGTATTTGGATGAATTAAAAAGAATCAATGCTCTGCTAAAGATTTAAAAATAAAGGAGTGATAAGAGAAAATGCTAATGCTACCTTCTTCTACTGGGCCTTCCTTCTCTTAAAATGAATATTACCGTGACTAGTCAAGAAGTAGTGCCTCCAGTAAGCACGCTCCATGGTGGCAGTTCCTTTCCAGACCAGGGTTCTGCACCTTCTTTTGACAATGCAAGCACTATTATTAGTCTCCATGTAGGATGTATGGTATGCCTGGGAGCATTTTAAATATATTCATCCTACCCACTATTTGTTAAGAAGTAGTGTGTTTCAGGAGGGCATATTTCAGAGTCTTGGATATTCTCAGACCTTTCATTTTTGTGAACGTGTTCAGAGCTATGCATCCATTTGCTTTATTCTCTGACCTTTTGAAGATGTTACTCTCGTTGTGGATAATGGGTATATCATTTTGTTCTAAATAAAGCATCAAAGACTGCCTGTTGGAAAAGGAACAAAAGATTTTTCTTTTGACTTAAAGTGACTTTTAAGAGAGAAGTCCTTTTCCCCTAGAGATGGCCATTATTTAAAGTTAAGTCTTGTCATTCATAGATTTTTGATCAATGATCTACAAACAGCAGGAAACAAAGCATTATGCATTCTGCAAGTAATTCCTGGTGGATGGCTTTTCTCTGCTGGTTGTGTTCAGTAAGTGGGGCCATTTAGCATCCTGAGCTTTACATTTGGATTGAAACTGGCTGACCTTCAAACCCTGGGTTACGTTGAATGTTGAGTTAACTATAGCATCTCAACCGGTGTTTTTCAGTCCCTGTTGATTGTAGTAAGGTGCATTTTCAGACGTAGGTTTTGTGGTGTTGGGTGTAAAAGGATTCTTTAGAGCAGGCTTGTAAATCTAGGATCAGTGAACAGAGTAGTGAAAAATGCGACAGTGCCCAAGAGGAAAATAGACGATGAAGTTGCTACCCCCCTCTCAAAAGTTCTTCTTTTCCCAAATCTCGGTGAAAATCTGAGTGAAATTTACTCATCTCTCAGATTCTGAGAGATGAGTAAATCATTTTCAAGAAGTTCCTCCTTCTCCTTCATCCTTTGAATCTAGAGAATATAACTTCAAGAATAATTTCTGGAGAATCAGACCAGAAGATGAAGGTCCTATGAGCTCTAGTGTCTTTTTTTAGTTAGTATGCTTATCGAAGCTTGTTTTATTAAACACTTTTATTTAAAAAATCTAACTTTTTATTTAAAAAATAGGATGAAGGTTCTGTCACACCTAAATATTTTTTTTATTTTAAAAACCCACCAGCTAAGATTATCTGATAATAGTTTTTCTATTTCATAATTTTGCATGGATTTCCAGAATTATTATTTTTCTCTAGGTAGTAATTTTCCCCAACTTCTGAAACAGGTGTTTACCCCTATGACACTGGAAGCAACCAAGGGGAAGCAATCTCAATAATTCTGCCTCTATTACTTATTTTATATGTTAATATTTCTGTTTCAATATTTATTATCATTTTCTTCATTAAAAAGAAGATCAGGCCAAATTGAGTGAGGAAGAATAAAAGTAAAGGTAATGATGTCACTGAAAAATTAGGGTAAGACCCACTCAGATGCACAAATGTTACAAATATAAATACCATGTTCCTGCATACCCTGATACCCTGAGGTGTCCACCTTGAGGTGGACATGGTACAGCCACAGAATACATCTTTGCTAAAGGAATGAACAAATCAATCAACCTCAGAGAGTGTTTAGAGCAAAAGAAATGCCACTTTAATCTTGTCATATAAAAGGTAATGAATTTCTGTGTGTGTGTATATATGTTATAAATTAAATATTTTGCCAAGTCTTTTATCTTGGTTTTCGCTCCTAGTAAATAACATTAGTAACTTAGCCTTGCTCATACCCTAAAGAGAGCAAAGGAATCAAACATATCAATGGAATATATATATATATTTGTTTCCTAGTTAACTAATCAAGGCAAAGAGCTTGAGTTTTTAATAAATGATATCTTTGGGGCTAAAAATTTCTAAACTGTCCATACATGATTTTACCGTTTCTTCTTTCCAGGCTGCCTTGATTAAGTCTTTAGCAAGAACATATATCTTTCAGAGGACAAAAAAAAAAAAAATAAAACAAAACAAACAAACAAAAAATACCTGAGTTCTGAGTATATTAAAATCAGATAAATCACTTAAATTATCAAATTTATTCACCTGGTTAATTATGACATCCACATTTTACAAATCAAGGGAAAGTTTACTTTTTGGCTAAGACTAAGCTTTTTTAAAAAATATAGATATTTATAAATAATTGAATTGCTTTTTACTTGTTATACTAAACAAAATTTGGAGGGGGGATGCCTGTTAATTTGTAATGAAATGACTGAATTCAGTAGTCCTTACCTTTATAATTGAGGCTTAAAATTTCGGTTACCTGTGGTGCTTGAAATTCTGGATGCACAATAAAGAGTAAATATTTAAAATGACTTATTAAAAAGTAGAAAAGCTGAATCAAATTATTGGTAACCACAACTAAAGTTTTCTTTATATTAAGGGTTAAAAAAAAAAAGTGCATTTTCACCAGACGTGAGAGCTTTCAAATAACCTCTATCCTAACATTATTAGGTTACTTGTTTTGATGTAGTAAACATAACTTAAGACTTATGTCCATTTTCTAATATGTCTCTCAACTCAAAATAACAAGTGCTGGGTCATGAGGTTCTTTTTTTTTTTTTTTTTTAAAGATTTTTTTTTTTTTTTTTTGAGAGAGACAGAGAGAGAGAGAGAGAGGCAGAGAGAGAAGCAGGCTCCCACCGAGCAGGGAGCCCGATGTGGGACTCGATCCCGGGACCCCAGGATCATGACCTGAGCCAAAGGCAGTCGCTTAACCAACTGAGCCACCCAGGCGCCCTGGGTCATGAGGTTCTTTGCTTTACAAACGTGTTATCTGTGTCTTAAAACGAAAGCCTGGAAATGCTTTGGGTAAGCAGGTAGAGTTAAAATTTCCATCTGTGGTTTTATTACTCCTAATGATTATTTTCTTTGGAAGGCATTCAATTCTATTTTTTTCTAAAGGTGTCTGGGCTTACTTTCCCATTGTTAGGTCTCTGCCATTTCAAACACGTAGTCGGGTTTGGGGGAGGTTCCCGGAAGAGCATTCCTGGACACAGTGCACACTTTGGCACACCTGTCCTGTGTGGTCAGTGGTTCCTCTGACCTCTTTTCACTTCCTTTCAATTGTTAGATAGTAAGAAGTTTGCACAGAAGCTCCAGGCTCCATAATAACCATTGTTGCTTGTTTAGATTGAGACCCTTACCTTCAGTGGCTACTTTTTAAATGATTACTTATTTTAACCTTTCACCCTAGATACTTTGGGTTATGTGTGTCTAAAAGATGTCTCCTAACAAAGATGCACTACCTCTCAAATATGTCTTCAGGTGTTATTTTGTAATGTATATCATGCAACCAAAATAGATATTAGCTAAGGTTTGTTATAATGAGCCAGGTTCTATGTGACATTTGTATATTAAATAGTGGAGTTCTTTTAACCTATGTCTTAAGTAGGGGGTATAACTCCTCCTGTTTTATAGATGGGGAAACAGACCCAGAGACAGTTAGGTGATCTGTCCGTTGTCACCCTTAGTAAGTGCTGGGAGAAGGTGGTGGGGCCGCATGGAGGTAGTGATTTTTTTCTCATTTTGCATAGTGCTTGTGTACAGTGCTGTCCAGTAGAACTTTCTGTGATGATGGAATGGTCTATATCTGTGCTGGCCAAGATGGGAGTTACTAGCCACTGGAAATGTGTTACTGAATACTTGAAAGGTGGCTTGTGTCACTAAAGCACTAGATTTTACATTTTAATGAATTAAATTTAAGTTTTGCCACATGAAGTTGTGGCTGTTGCATTGGACGGTGCAGCTCTAGAAGGATGAACTTCCCTCCAGAAATTCTGGCAGGACCAACTTCTAACACAAAGAGATATCTAAATCCTGTTGACCTGATGCTTGTGCATTCCAGGAGCAGCCTTCCTGGTCAGCTTTCTTCCTCTCCTTCCTTGGCTGAGCCACCCTGAGCCTGGCCCCTGGTTTCCAAACATCCATCTGCTTCTGTTCCTCCACCGCTCCTGTTTGGCCCAGCCACGTGGGAGCCATTGCTGTGGCTCCTCACACCGGGTGGCATCCTCTGGGTCCCCTCCTGTGCCATTTGAGCTGTCTCATGGCATTGGTGATTTTGGTTTCCAGTCGTTTCCCTGAAAGCCCCAAGCATCCTCTCTTCTCAGTCAGGTTCTCTTTGGTCATTCAGCTTAATGGGTAGTCTTCCTGTATCCTTGGGAAAATATAGGACAGGCCACTGAGCCACCTGGGCTCTGTTTTGAGGACTTTCTCCCACTGAGCCATAGCTAGTCTCTTTCTCTTCCACTACAGGCTTTAGGTTTTGAAAGTTTATGAGAAAGATAATTGATCATGTCTTTCTCCTGGGGCAAAAAATACAAAGTGTTGTTTACATAGCTCCACAAATGGTACGTGCTGGGCATTTGGAGCCACAGATGTGCACA